AACGACTTTTTCAAGCGTTATATTTTTCACGTTTTTTCTCATGTTTTCCTGGCTTTATAGTAGTTATTTACTTGTTGTATTTTCATACTTATAAATACGTAGATATTTCACAAAAAGATTAGATTTGTTTTCAGAGTTAAAATTGTATTTCTGGTATTTATTTTCAACTTTTCTTTTTTTTATGTTCCCTTTAGTCCTATTAAATGTAGTATGTGTCCTTTTGCTACTGCGCTGGCTGCGTGTATATTTCGTTAAGTTTGTTATTTTTTTTTTTTTTTTTTTTTTTTGTTCACCAAACATTTTTCGTTATCAATGCTTTGTTTCCTTGAAATCCTTTAAAGCCAAAGAGGGAACTGGTAGCTGTTATACATAGTTGTTTTTGTATTTTAGCCTTGTTACGCTTTTTTGTTTAGAATTTTTGGTAGGATTGTTGTATAGCTTTTTCAAGGGGTATTATCATATTGGTAACGGTTTTTTTTGTTAATACCATAATGCAAATTTATATATGTGTATATAGTTTTTTTTATTATTTCCCTTTTTTGTTTATATGTTTATTTCTCTCTAACTCGTACGCTGTCCTCTATGTTTGTACACATTTTAATCTGTGATCAAAAAATATTAAATGTAGAATTTTTTTTATATAAATATTGTACTCACTTGTTTTAGTACACAACATTTTTTTGAATTATACATATATATTTTTAGTAAAATATTTCATTTTGTTAGTTTATATTTAAGCGGGTGGCTACAAATTTTTTTCTTTCTATTTTTTGTTATTTAATTTTTCTGATAAAATGCTCTAAATATTTATAGAAAATATTAATATGTTTGCTAAATATAAGCAAAAACTGAAAATTATTTAAAACAGAATTTAGTTTTTTTTTTTTTGTATATCATAAAACATGAGCATTCAAGCAGGCACAGTGGTCTCGATTGTCAAAAGCTTGTACAGAAACTTTAAGGCCAAATAAGAAACTTTACTTTGAAATTTGTTGCATCAAAATTAGTCGTTGTTGAAACACCATCTGTCCATCTTTCTGTCTTTTTTTAATTGCACAGGGCGACAAATTTTTAACCCAGAGACCACAGTTTACTTTCTCCATCACTGTTATAACGTATCAAAACTGGCGTTTGTTTGAAACCTTTGGACTCCCCAGCAAAAATTTTCATTACCTAGTAATCTAGAAAGTAATAGTGGAATCACGTTTAAACTAATTACTTTTGGGGTGAATAACTAATTATTTTTGTTCGACGAGGTTCAAATAATATGTACCTACCTTAAACAAATTAATAAGTGGCTACTAATTAGATAACAAAAACTTTGCGAAATAACTAGTTACTAGTTACTTTGGGCCGACTTTGTATGTAGAAAATAAAAAATTCCTCGGCCGGGATTTGAACCCAGGCATTCAGTTGTTTTCTATGTTTCTCACTCCAGCCGCTTACTCGATGCTCCATTGACATATTGCTAAATTAAATAATGTGGATGATAATGAACACTCATTACCAAGTAATGTATGAAATAACTACTGGCTATTACCAAAAATTTCAGATTTTTTGCTGGGTCTTTATCTCAAAACACAGATGTGATGAAGAAAATCAAATTCGGATTCAGCGCGGCTCAGTCATTTAGAAAAATCTAACACAGGGCTTTGACTTTCTGGGTTATCTTTCATCAATTTACTTACTATTCCCTAATGATGGAGATAATCAGATTCGTATTTAGCGCGGCTCAGTCCTTTACAAAAGTCTAACACAGGGCTTCGACTTTCTGGGTTATCTTTCTTCAATTTACTTACTATTCCCTAATAATCTTAAGTTTTTTGTATATTTACTTTGGAACGTAAATTTAACATATCGGCCTCACTGTACCACTGTTCATACTTTAGCCTTAGTGCTTGTTTGAATAATTTTTGGTATTATTATCATTTTAAATTTATTCTTTTTTCTCCCCAAAAATAGTTTCTTTTATCTACTCATAATTTGCAGGCTAAACTATTAAATAGTTGCGCATTTTTGTGCCCCGTAGTTTTGGAAAGAGCAATTCCCAAAATCTTCTCTACCAAAGAGAAAACTAGTTACCTTTATGTTTACTTACATTTCAACTTTATTCTTGTCATTTTTGCAATCGTTCTTGCGAGGAACATTGGGCATAGAAAAATTCTAAAGAAATCGATATTTGTTGAATCGAACAATTTTGCGGATCAAACAAGACTGTAGTCGACTCGAACACAAATGCTCAAAAACTTAAGACACTTAAATACACCTAGGCTACCATCGGGCCCGCTGTGCGCTTCTTTTCTTGGAAAATGTTTCTTTGTAAAAACAAAAACCTTTATTACATAGTATTCACTGAATGTATTATCGACCGATGTTCAGAATCTCAGATTCCTGGACGTAATTCCTAAGAATGTTACAATCAGTGTTTTTATAATTTCCTTCCCAAGATATTTGAATCTAATTTCGACGAAAGCCTGACAATGGCAAAGAAAGTGCTAAAGAGTTCCACATTCCTCTCTACATACTCTACATTCGTCTGAATCCGCATGTCTAATTCTGTATAGTTGTGTCCATAATCCTGGATCTATCCACCTTTTCATTATTCGAATAGGCCTTTGGGATTCTTTCGTACATATTTTTAATTCGGCCCTCGTTGCATCGAGTTCGTCAAGTTAACCACCTTGAACTTCTTACCCTTTAAAGTTAGTAAAATCGCTCTTTTGTTGCTGACTACTCCAGAATTACCTGGTATCCCTACGAGAGTATTCGGTTAGTGCTTTCTTCAATCTAATATCGCCCTAATTGCCCAAAGTTTCCGACATATTATGTGTCTGGTAGCGATCAGCTACGTCCAATGATTGTATATACGTGCCCGGATTCTTTTAAAACGGCAAAAGGAACGAGTCGATCTTCAAAACCTTGGAACCAGTGTTTCAAAGTTTCCAACATATTCTGTGTCTGGTATGCGATCAGCCACGTTCAATGATTGTATATTAGGCCCACTTTGTCTCCCAATTTAGAGACATCCGTTAAACAACGGTTTTCTACGGGTATGTTGCGCTTGACTAAGACATTCTATCTGGGGTCAGTGTTTCAAAGTTTCCGACATATTCTGTGTCTGGTACGCGATCAGCAACGTCCAATGATTGTATATAAGTGCCCGGATTGTTTTAAAACCGCAAAAGAAACGAGTCGATCTTAAAAACCATGGAATCAGTGTTTCAAAGTTTCCGACATATTCTGTATCTGGTATGCTATCAGTCACATCCAATGATTGTATATAAGTGCCCGGATTCTTTTAAAACCGCTAAAGAAACGAGTCAATCTTCAAAATCTTGGGATCAAGACATATTTTGTGTCAGGTATGCGATCAGTCACGTCCAATGATTGTATATAAGTACCCAGATTCTTTTAAAACCGCAAAAGAAACGAGTCAATCTTCAAAACCTTGGGATCAGTGTTTCAAAGTTTCCGACATATTCTGTGTCTGGTATGCGATCAGCCACGTTCAATGATTGTATATAAGTGCCCGGATTCTTTTAAAACCGCAAAAGAAACGAGTCGATCTTCAAACCCTCTACAAATAGAGATCAGTTAAGTGAAGTGTGCAGTGCCCACGATCGTTTGGCCGAAAACTTAAAATGATAAATTCTCGAAATAAAATGACAACTCGAGTCATCCTTTTACTACTACAAATATATACATTTTGAGTCCGAAATATCCATTAAAATATTGATTTTCGACTTAGAAACTTATTACAATTAATCTTATTCCAATTAGTCTAGTAAAAGCAATAAGAACTACTTGATAACAGATCAGTACAGATCACTAGTGGGGAAAAATGAAAAAAAAACTAATGAACTAAGCTTCTGGATCGCCCAACAATCACAATAACAGATTTATACTAGACGTTAATCTAAATTCTTCCTTCGTGAATCCGTTATATGTAGATCCTCAGTATGATAGAAGTTTCGGAATTGTTGTAAAGTGTCTTTAAGGAATTAGTGTCAAAACTCTTGTTTCATCAGAATCGTTAAGAAATAATTTCTCGATGCATTGAATGGTTCGAATTGTAGTTAGACTAGTGAGTAACTAGTTCTAAGTGATAATGAAATTACCCAAAGTATAACTAGTCAACTGCAGGGTCTTTCACAATTATTCCATTAAATTGTGAGAGAGAGAGCTCTTTAGCATGTGATAATTGCAAATTCAAACCATGTTTTTTTTTTGTATTATGCGTACGTACGCACTTCCTCGCCTATTTAAAACGTTTGTTTTAAATATTATAATACAGTTTTTTTTTTTGTTGTTTGATATTGTTGTTGGATTATTGTCATTATTTGCTGTAGTTATTGCTGTTGTTGTGTTGTTGTTTCTTTAAAATTCAATTGAAAAGCCGTTATTTTAAATGTGTTTAATAGTATTAAATAATATGAATAATTAAATTTGCTCTTATGCATACATTGTTGGTATTATGTTTTTAATTTCTTTTAAATTAAAATAAAAATGTAGTGGAGTGGTTGTGGGGATTTAAAAAAAAAAAAATTTAACAAAAAAAATTTTATTTAATTTTCCAGTGTGAGTATACATTTTTGCTAAATCAATGTTCTCACAAGTGTTACTTCCGTTTTAAGCATACATACATATGAGTTAACATATACACAGGCACGTGTTTTTTTAGAAAAGCGATGCCTCTTTTAACGGCCAAATATTATAGGCAAACTAACACTTCAAATTTAAACACACATTTTTTTTTGGTAAAAACAAAATTATAATTTTAATTTTATATTAACTAGATATAATTTAATTTTTTTAATTTCCTTTAATTTTCCTCAAATTTTCTTTAACATTTTTATTTCCGCTTTCTATATCCTTAGTTATTATTCTTTTCCTTGCCAAATAGTTTTCCTTTTTTGAAGCCACTAATTGTCTTTCCATTTTAAAAATGTTATTCAAATTATTAACCTGTATCGAAAATTTCTTTTTGATACCTTATAGTGGGCGTGGCTGCTTTAAATTACCGAAGAATGGCCTATTATCCACAGTTTATTGTAAGTATGGTTTTTATGAAATTTGTAAAAAAAAAATGTTTTTGATATCATTAAAATCCGAGGAATATTAAAGGAAAATATAAAAAATTTAACGGTTTCAACAAATAAAATATATATATAAATTTGAAATCTGTTATACTCTCCAAAATTTTCCTATTAAAGGTAAATTTGTATCTATGTAGTTCTGGGATCAAAATGAGCCTATCTGCATAACATTCCGAAGAGGTATAAGTGTTATTTGTGTTTTATTTTATCGTAATATTTATAAGTTCATTATGGACATTTAATTGATTTCGTTGTGTGGGGATTAGGTTCTAATGAGACCTAAACATTTTAAATAGGGTTTGCCTTAGATTCAATAGAAAAGGACATGTCTAAAAAATTTAGTGTTTTTAAAAATTGTGACCTGTAGTTTAATTAAAAGGTTTACAAGGACGCAGGTGGACTTAGCTAAATCGACTTAAAAAAGATTCTTTACAGATTAATGAATTACTAACATACAAAGATCAGTACATTCGGACCATAGTACATTCAGTACATTCGGACATTCGGACGAAACTATAGAGAAATTTTAAGATCTCTGGATGTTATATTTACTATAATACTTTTTTAATGTACGAACAATGGAATCGGATACCTCAAAAGTAGATCAGTTAAGTGCTATTTGTGTCGATCGTTCGATCGAAACAGAAATGAGCTCGGTGGTGTAAAAGCCATGATCATTTGGATAAAATCTTATGGTTAGATCTTGAAATCTTTTACATAAAACGAAAGAAATAATTTGGACGATCTTTCTACTACAAATTACTAGAAATACAGATCTCTGCACAGAAAAAAATGGAATTCAAAATCAAACAAAAAATTCATAAAGCCAAGTATTTTTTTTTACTAAAATAGGACCTATCACGAAATTCGTAAAATCAAGTACTCAAATTCGTAAATTCTTTATTGAAAAAATTTCAGGATTTTTCTTATTAAAATAATATACTATTTACGAAAAACATTAATAAATAATCGCAACATTTCCAAACAATTATTTTACTGAAACAATAACACAAGTTATTAGTATTTGTACTGAAATTCAAGCAAATATGTTATCTGAAACAGTTAAATTATTTATTGTATTTTGGCAATAATAATAAGAAAATTTTTTATTGAATCTATAAAAATTTTGTTAAAAAATATATACTAAATTTTAACAAAAATTTTACAAAAAATATTTAAAACTAAAAGTAGTAAACAAATTACATATATACTTACAACATTTTTAAGAAAACGTTTCTAATTCTAGAAACTATTATTTTGTACTGTGAAAACTGAAACACTTATACATTAAATGTTATAAACCAAATAAGAATTATATCAATTTATTTTAGTACATTCCAAAACTGGTTTTATTGTTGTGTTCCATATGCTGACATAAAAATAAAACTCAAACAAAAACATTTATTGAATCAGTAAAAATATTTACTGAAAGTTAAATTTATTTCAATAAAGTGTTTGTTAGAAAATATTTTCCTTCTGTGTGAACATCAAACAAATTCGTTATAAACCCAAATAAAAATATTTATAAAAATCGAAATTAAATTTAAGCAAACGATTGTTAAGAAAAAAATTGTGCATATTTTTTTCTGTGTGGTTGTTATATTTACTATATTACTTTTTTAAGTAGATCAGTCAAGTTCCATTATTAACGATTGTTCGGTTGAAACAGAGATAAGATCGGTGCTATTAAAGCCATCATTATTGACGATAATTTATCCGAAATGTTATGATAAGATCTAGGAATCTTTTCCATAAAACGAAAGAAATTATTTGGACGATCTTTCTACTACAAATTACTAGAAATACAGATCTCTGGATGTTATATTTACTATATTACTTTTTTAAGGTGCGATCAGTGGAATCGGATGAACTTTTCAACATTCATAAAGGCCTAAAAAGGAGATCACTCAAGTGCCATTATTAACGATCGTTCGGTCGAAACAGAGATGAGATCGGTGCTATTAAAGCCATCATTAATGACGATAATTTATCCGAAATCTTATGGTAAGATCCGGGAATCTTTTCCATAAAACGAAAGAAATTATTTGGACGATCTTTCTACTACGAATTACTAGAAATACAGATCTCTATATTACTTTTATAAGATGCGATCGGTGGAATCGGATGAACTTTTCAACATCCATAAATACCTAAAAAGTAGATCAGTCAAGTTCCATTATTAACGATCGTTCGGTCGAAACAGAGATGAGATCGGTCATCATTATTGACAATTATTAAGGCAAAATCTTATGGTAAGGAATCTTTTCAATAAAATCAAAGATATTAGTCGCATGATCATTATACTTCAAGTTGCTGGAAATATAGCTGCCATTATTGAGGATCATGTGATCTAAATCTCAAAACAATAAGCTCTAGGAATTATTACAAACACATTGGAAACATCTGAGTCTAATGATCGTTACATTCACTATAAATAGTTAAAAGTAGTTCAAACAATTTACCGTGGCCATATTGACGATTATTTTATTTCTCAGGATCTTTTAAAGTGACTTATTACGCCTTATACAAAGATCCCTACCATTCATTACAAAATGACTAAAGAATTTGTTGGGCGTCAGTAATAACGATAATTTTGGACCAAAACTTTAAGAATAAGTTCTCAAAATTCTTTTCTTACCAAAAAAAATATATATTTTGTGATCATAATATCGATCCTTACAAATCTTTATAATCACACGATCACTTTATCACAAACAAATCTTTCATTATGGCTCAATATAACTTAACTCAAATGTTAAGAACGATTTAGAAACCATGCGATTTTTAAAACTATATTTTTTCCAACTAATTATCATAAATTTATGAAATTTATTTATGTTCGCGAATATTCTCCGAATTCGCTAAATCTCTTCTTCTAGAGTGAAGGCAACTGGCACAAATTTTGATTTAAAAGGCATTTGGTTCAAAAACCCCTTCTAGTTCTTAAATGTATATTTAATATGATGAAGGCCTACAGAGGAATATATTGACACACTTTCGAAATTCTTTGACAGATCTCTTAACTAATTTGAAGGGATTTAGTGCGATATTGGGGTTTAAATAAACAAATCGACTTTTTACAAAATTAACAACTTTTTGTCATATTAGACAGATTTAGTTTTTTAGACATTATAAGGTCTCCATGCACAAACACTACAAAATGTCACACTTTCAAGCCGTCCATTGAGTTTCTAGTGTAATACAGTAGTTCTCTCATTCATATCAATAAATATTTTTCAATTTAAATGCATTTCAGCAAATGTCGACTATTGTTATGCTGCCAAAAAAAAAATATATATATTTTGCTTCAGTTCCTCTCTATACACAGATCTACAGTAGGTTGCTACTATTATTATTGTATGTCCGATTTTCCTGTATTTGATTGGTTCTTTCCTCGTATGCTATATACATACATATATTTTTTGTTTGTTGCTTTTGTTTTTTTTTGTATACAACAAAAAAAACCTACAAAACTTAGACGGGACCATAGTGCATAAATTATAAATGTATTTGTCTGTTTTTATAATTGCTAAAGTCTACTATATGGTGCATAATAAATATACCTAATGTGAAGAATTGTTAGGTTGAAGGGGGCCATACGGTGTCAGGGGGAACTTGTGTGTGTGTGAACTTACATAATCTATTGTATTCATATTCATTAAACCAACATATTTACAAACATGTTTAAAACATTTCAAACTATGTGATTATATGTATGTTTGTGTCTCTTTATGAATATCTGTCTTTTTTTCTAGTATTTGCTATCAGTTATATATCATTTATATGTCATCACTATATGGGTCTCATTGTTGTACTATTGCTGTTGTATAGTTGATGCCGATACTGATGATGATGATGGTATTTTGCTGACAATTTTCTTCTTTTTTTTTCAATTTTCACATTGCAATTTTATGAAGTGTAGATTTTTAATGTGTTTCTGTTGTTGTTTTGTTATAGTTCATTTTTTTCTATTATTTTCAATTTATTTTAAATATCAGGGAGTAAAATACCCGACAGCATGTCTTTAAACAGGGTGACTAATTGCATGGTGATTTTGTTTTTTTTTATATGCAAGTATTAGGGCGGTGTTTTTTTTAAATTTATTTACAGACAGATACAGTATAGAGATCGCAGTTGACGAGTTATTTTAAATTGTACTAGTCCTAGAAGGCAATAAATCGTCATATACTACAAAGTGACAGCCAGAAAGATAGTCTAAGATCGTAAAGAGGCGATGTATCCGCTCTCGCTCTATAGCCTAGTCTATAGTCTAGTCTATAGTCTATACTATAGTCTAGTCTATAGTCTAGTCTATAGTCTAGTCTAGTCTATAGTCTAGTCTATAGTCTAGTCTATAGTCTAGTCAATAGTCTAGTCTATAGTCTAGTCTATAGTCTAGTCTATAGTCTAGTCTATAGTCTAGTCTATAGTCTAGTCTATAGTCTAGTCTATAGTCTAGTCTATAGTCTAGTCTATAGTCTAGTCTATAGTCTAGTCTATAGTCTAGTCTATAGTCTAGTCTATAGTCTAGTCTATAGTCTAGTCTATAGTCTAGTCTATAGTCTAGTCTATAGTCTAGTCTATAGTCTAGTCTATAGTCTAGTCTATAGTCTAGTCTATAGTCTAGTCTATAGTCTAGTCTATAGTCTAGTCTATAGTCTAGTCTATAGTCTAGTCTATAGTCTAGTCTATAGTCTAGTCTATAGTCTAGTCTATAGTCTAGTCTATAGTCTAGTCTATAGTCTAGTCTATAGTCTAGTCTATAGTCTAGTCTATAGTCTAGTCTATAGTCTAGTCTATAGTCTAGTCTATAGTCTAGTCTATAGTCTAGTCTATAGTCTAGTCTATAGTCTAGTCTATAGTCTAGTCTATAGTCTAGTCTATAGTCTAGTCTAGTCTAGTCTATAGTCTAGTCTATAGTCTAGTCTATAGTCTAGTCTATAGTAGTCTATAGT